GATTTTCCTGCCCAGGCTGGCTTCAAATCATGATCATCAGATCTCAGCCTCCTGAGTAGCTAGGATTACAGATGTAAGCCACTGATGCCAGTCAAGGTTAGGTATTCTTTAAATCTTAAAGTATCCCTTGTTAAAGTGTTCTACTGTCTAATATTTGCTACCTCTGCCCTTTGTTTCTGCTAGAGAATATATTATAACTCACTGTAAGCACCATGAAGACAGAGACTATGTCCATCAGGTTGCTGTACCCAACACAAGACTAGACATAAACAAGCATGCAACAAACAATTGCTTGTTAAATGGAGATAGGATTAAGTTGTTATCCTGTTGCTACTACTTCTTAGTGGTTTGATCTTAGATAAGCCACTTATCTAAGTTTCAATTTTCTCTTCTATTAAAAAGGAATAAATACCCTATAGTATTGCTAAATGAGATCTAAAAATTGTCAATGAGTAATGACCAAGTACAGTGCCTAGAATTTAATAAATGGTATAAAGTTAATTTAATAAATGCTGGAAACACAGTGGGAATTTCCAAGCTCATTTCAATACTGAAATTACATGTACATTTATATCTACTTAAAGAGAATAATATAAACCTGAAGAGAGAGAGATAAATTGTATTTATAAGTTTGAATCCTAAGTGTTAGAAAGTTGGAAGAAAATTGAAATAAGAAGGATATGTCTATTACTATCTCTTCACAAAGGGGGGAAAAGTGGTTGAGGAGAAAAGAAGAAACAGAAGGAAGTGGTAACCAAGGAATTATAGAGATCCTCAGTTAACTCCAATTCCTAAATTTAGAACAATCTTCATTTACCTATAAAGACCTGCAGCAAGAACAAGATTGATAATTTGCAACTCAAAACATTTTTTGATTATATACACACATATGTACGTCTAATATGTATATACATGTTTATTTGTACTAAAACAAATAATGTATTTGCTTTCTTTTTACTTTTATTCTCAGTTAATATTGCTGACAAAGTTTAAAGGAAAAAACTCACAACAAACCAAAAAAAGCAATAAAACATCTCAGATCAAAACCACAAAATCTCATCATTTCCTTAAATTCTTATGAGATTTTTCTAATCAAGAAAAAAATAACTGCTGCTCAATTTTCAATCTAAAATCTTTTACCTTTTCTTCAAAGGGGATTTTATTTTCTAGAAACCTTCTAAATCATTTACTATATATTTTCTTCCTACACTTTAACTGCCCTTCTAACAGTAGTTATTCCATACTTTCTGCCAGATAACCCCATAGAATTGTGTGAAGACACTATTTCTATATTCTCCCTAGGATAGAGATAAAATTTAGATTCTGAATTCAAGGAAGTGTTTGTGTTAAGCAATTAATTCAGTTTAACTCAACATATTTTTTGGTAATCAAGTTTGTCTTCTTTAGTAGTAATTGGTATCAGCTTCTTTGCTTCCCCCTTCTGTTCCAGTTATTTCTACTACCTTTCTAAAATCGGTACTTCTAGTGTATCCTTATATTGGAAAAGTTTACAGTGCTGCTGAATGGTCTATAAAATTTACGGAAAAGATTCATTCATCAGATATAAAATGCAGAAGTGAAAGAATACTTTATGCTACCACAACACGGACAATATGGATTTTTGTCTGTTTTTTTTTAAAAAAAAGAAGTGATAACAGGCCAGTCACAATACATAAGGAAGTTTTTATTGCTATGGAATGTTTTGGTAACAAATACCTAAAAGCCAAAAACAACTGCAACTTTTCAAGGCTATTGTAAGATCATATATAGACACAACAAAGATTCTCAATTACATTTTAAGACATCATCTAGGACAGTGCTTATCAAACTAAGAAATGCACTCAATTAATACATCCAAAATTAGGGAATTCAGACCAGTGCATTAAGAAAGGGAAGGTAGAAGGAAAAGTAAACAGAATAAAATATTTCAGTAATATCACAGAGAGTAAGGGTTTTCCTCTGTGTATATAGGGAAGGGTAATTTTAAATGCAAGTCAGAAAACACTGATCTGGGAGACAAACCGAAGAGGAAAGAATAAAGCAAGAGTACTTGTGTAAGTACTAAACTGTGATTTGAGAATGAGGAAAAACAATCGCTTCTATGTCTGAAAGAAATTTTAGCAATGTAACATACATTGGGAAAAAGACATCTCAACTTGAGAAGAATCATTTTCTTCCCTGATAGATGCCTAGGATACTGCCCAGAAAGGCTCACTGATGTGCACGGATGCCACTACTAAAGTACTTTCCCTTCAACCTTACAAAGAAAGCAAAGGACAACTTTTATTTTCTCCTCTTAGGCACATTCAATGTAGTTAAGACACAACAGCTCTTCTTGGATAATTATTGGTCCTATAACAACTACTTTAGAAAATATTAACTGTAGATTACTATAAAAATCTAAATTGGGTAACTTTACAGTTTTGAATTTCATGTAAGACTTTGGCATCCAGAAAGATAATTTGGGAATAAAATAGTTACATATGGTATTTCCACAAAAATGATCATGTGAAGGATATAAATACCAAATAAGGATTCTTTAAAGGCATATAAAATGTTTCAAACTCAAAAAACACCCGGGAGGCATTTAATGGTGCAGTTATATAAAATACTCACTGAAAATTCAGTACTAATTAACAGAGCTTTCTGATCATTTTTGAAGCCACTCTATTTTTTTATTGCATAAGAGAGTTTCATAAATTCCACTTAATATCCATTCTAAGATGCTCAATGTTACAGCTTGATCATAGAATACAACCACTAAATATCACAACTACTACATGGTTCAGTTATCCCAACATCATTATTGCCATGGAAGTACATCCTCTACTACTCCCTCCCTACTTACATAAACCCACATCTACTTGGGAGTACAGAACACACATGCACATAGATACAGCTGTATAGAGAATTTCCCACATGCAGGGTCAGGTTCCTTGAATCTCTGTTATTGTCAGTTAATGTTCTGCTGGGCTCAAATGTCTTTTTTCTTATGTTCTGAAACTTGCTGTGGCTTAAGACATCAACCTTTGGCATAATCACTAGCTAGTTTTGTAATCTGGCTCTGCAGTGTGGGAAAAAGGAGTGTTAGTATTTGACAACTAACAATTCCTCACTGAACACACCCAAAATATAAATTTTTGAGAAGCACCCACCAGGAAGTCACTTTGTATATGCATACAAATGAATATACCAAGATAAATGCTGGGGTTCAGAGTTTCTAATCTCTAGAGGGAAAAGTTTCTTTTTCTTTTTTTGAACACTAATGACACAGGTTTTTATTACAGGAAGAGCCCATTTTTTAAAAATCTAGTCTGATGAGACATCAGAGCAATTCAATTCTAGTTATAGTGCAGGACAGAAACAGCCGGACATTCCTAATTACACAAGATTAAAGATTCCTATCACTTTCTTCTTTCTTGTGGGCCATTATATCAAACCTAGAGCAGAACTATTCCCACCTTCAGGCTAGCAGAAACAACATAATAGCTTATTGATCTCTGGTGTAGACCAACCCACAAGTCATCAGCCAAGCAGGGATCACAGCCACTTGATGCAACTAACGATCAAAAGTCATGCACTGGGTTTTCTGGTCCCACACAAGCATATCACGGACAATCATGCCCATCAAATGTGGCCCATACCATCCTCCTCCCAAAAATAAGAAAAAAACAGGACTCAGGCGAGGGGCAACACATCCAAAATTATTGAAAAGACTATTACATCTGGCTGTCGGTAAACACCAAAGTTAGGTTAGTTAACTGTGTATTTTTATGTAGTGTGACTTTTCAGGTTTTAAAAATTATCACTTTCAATTCCACGGATAAATGATTTTAAAAGAGATGACACAGCTGGCGAATTCCACAGGACCAGAATCCCATCATCATGTCCATTTTACAAGTCCAATTGGTGTTCATAGCCAATGACTGACTTCTTAGTAAGTCTTTCTATACAATTTACAAGATTGGTAACTTCAAATTATTTTCTTCTGGAGAATCAAAGCAATACCCCCCAAAGGGGGAAGGGTTTAAAGACAGTACTCTGACAAGAAACAACTGTTCTCTGAAATACCCCTCTGATAACTAAGGTGAAGACAGCTCATCTCTCAAGCCATGGATATTCCTTTCCAATTAATTCTACTTGACTCCGTTCTGACCCCGAGGCAATATTTAAATTTACTATTATTATTTTTTAAAGCACAGTCCTGGTAAGTCCTCAGTCCACTTTTAACCTGAAAGGAGTATGCCCAGCGCCAGCCACAGACTAGAACCAGGCAGACCGTGACCACAGTAGCGGACCGAGGACGAGGGACGCAATGACAATTGAACTCCAGAGTCAGGGGCAGACGTGCAGTCTGGGAAACTATTTTCTGGCCTTCTCTAAGCTAGCTCCTTCTGGGGAAACAAAACAAAACAGGATCCTGCACGCCCGGGACCCACCGGGCCCAGAGCCCCGAGGTAAGGGGGGGGGGGCAGCGGCGCGGCGCGTTTTCCGGGGAGTGGGGAATGATCGGGGTCGGGGCGCAGGCTTTTTCTCCGGGGAGAGAGAACTTCCAGACTCCGGGCAGGGCGGAGGGAAGTGGGGCGGCGGGACCGTCCCGGCGGCGACCTCCCCGGCGCGCACACGGTCCTGCATCTTTGTGTGAGCACTGCACTGGGGAGCACGACGACTCCTGGAGGGGTCGGCCGGGGCCCTCCAGCCCAGGTTGGCAAGTCCGCCCGCACCCCTTGGCCCCGCCGGCCGCCCCCGCTCCCCCCGCCTCGCCGGGCCCCCCTCCAGCCGCTCTCCCATCCCGGAGGGGGGCGAGCGGACCAGAGCATCTCCGAGCGGGGCCGGTCCCCCCGCCGCACCCACGCTCGCCGAGGCTTTGTCCCGCCGGGCGCCGGGATACCCCCCCCCCCGACCGCACACACACCGGGGGCTCCGGTCCTAGAGGCCTCCGGGCCCGGGGTCGTCCGAGCTTTGTTCGGTCAGCGGGGCGCAGGGAGGCGGACACTCACCGTACACCCCGGCGCAGAAGAGCCAGAGCAGCGCCGACCTCCACCACGGAGACTCTTTTGTGCTCCAGCGACGGGCCATAACCACGGCAGATGGAGGGAGCGAGGAGATGGAGGTGGAGGAGGAGGAGGAGCTGGGGCTAGACGCCGCCGCCGCCGAACCCGGC